TCTTTTTTTCTCTCTTTTTTTCTCTCTTTCTCTCTTTTCTAGCAGAAGAAACAAGACTTGGTGTAAATGATGGCCTCAGGTCAGAATACATCTTGACGGAGCGATGTGTGAAACCAAGGGTTCTCTCCTCTGGTCCCCTTCTGGGTTTACTTTGGTCATCTGAGAATACTTGTGATGCGAGGCGTTTCCAATTTGCCTTGCAGATATGCTGAAACAGTCTCAAAAAAGGTTTCTTGGGGTTGTACTAATCTTAAAATAGCTTGGATTCATTTCTGTCACTGACTCTGCCAGGGTCGACAGAGACCTTGAGGCTCCACAGCCTGCCCTTTTGAGTCCCAGTTCTTCCTTTCTGGTGACACCTTTTTTCAGAACTGCTTTAAGAAGTCATGGAAAAGAGCAATGTGTAAATATTAATGTTGAGTATTTGTCTTTAAAAATCCCTTTGGGATGCTCAACAAATCTGTACCATGTATGCTGTGGCTTTCTAGATACTGCTTGCTTGCAGCTTTTGGACCTGTTAGTGTATTACTAGCCCATGCCATCCCATGGATCATGGGCAGGGTTGTCTTCTGTAACACCCATTTTGTCTCCCTGTCACAAGTAGCTTCTCTCAGTTCATGTTCAGACTTTGGTCAAGGTCTGTTGTCTTCCTGCAGTAAAGCCTTTCCTTTTCTCTGTCTGGACTAGGTAGGGCTCTGAGTGCTGCTCAGTGTCTCTCAGTATACAACTAAGAGGGCAGTGAAGAAAGATCTCTCCTCAGTAAGAGTGTCTTTAATTTCCACACTGAAGTTCATTCTTACAAGTATTGCTTTGATTTCTACCTCACCCCACCCCCTACTTTGCACAGGTTTTCAGCTTCTAAGTCAACAGCTTAACTGTTACGCTATAAGCTTCCCACTGTAAAACAAGCAACTCAAAGCGTGGGGAAAAAAATGTTCTGGGCAGACCTGGCTGCATTGCTGTTCAGCCTGGGACACCCCAAAGCTACCCCATCAATGTTAATGTGAGCAGACTGGTCATGGCTATTGCTGTCCAGACCTAAACTGAGCATGTACCCAGACAAAGAGGCCACAGTTTAATATTTAATGTTCCATAAGGGTGCTCTGATATCTTTTACTGAAATGTGTCAGCAAAGGCATGCTGTAGCAGTGATAGGAAGCGGCCGAGAGCCAAGAGGATCCTGTTCTCTACTTCTGCCCAAGGCATGTTCTCTGATACCAAGCAGCTTGCTTGACCCCCCGTGTCTCAGCCAACCTAGCTGTAAAATTAAGCAACAAAGAAAGCTCCATGACAAATAGACGTGTCTGGAGGTGAACTTTCAAGGTGAGCTTTACTGATAAATTTGTCGTACTAGCAGAATTTCTGGTTTTTAACCTAATGTGTGTTTTTGCTGTCCTTCCAGGCAGCATTCACTCTCCTCCTGGGTCCTTTCACCTTCTTCAATGTGCAGAAGACCAAGTATCTTCAAATCATGACGTCTCTCATGAGATGGATAGGTGAGTCTTGGCAGAGTCTTGGCCACCTCTTTACCATAGATGGAACCTGAGTCATGCTACCAATGCTTTTGCTCCCCCCTGCCCAAGATATTGTTGTTCAGAAGCAAGTGCTTGTCAGAACAACCTCTTTGAGGAGGATTGTCCAGGCCTGATAAATCTTTGAGGAAAAGGATGAAATTTCTGATTAAAACAAAACAAATTGTTCTCGATCAGACATGAGCTGGTAGATGAAGTTCTAATTTGGTTTGTATGAGAGGCAGAAGGGATTTGGAAGAGTCTCCTGTGTGGGGCCTGACCATGATACCTACCAGTTGCTGTTCAGCAGTAGGTTTCTCATTCTCTCAGCATGTGTACAACAGACTTTGAACAATCTTTGGTTTGATCTGAGAACAAAAGGCACTTCTGTCAGACTTTCTGCCCTTAGTTTTATCATCTGTTTGCATTTTTTTTTTCCCCTGGGTCTTGCTTTAGCGTAGGATGTACTGCATTGGAAACCCCCAAACCAATGTGTATTGTCCTTCGGAAGCTCTCATGAGTCCTCTCCAAAACCTTACTGCCAAGAACTTCTGGGAATACAGATAATTCCCTTAAGGGAAATAAGATGTCACTTTTTTTTTTTTTTTTTTTTTTTTTTGCATTGCCTTTGTCATCCAAAGATGCAGCTGCCTCGCATCTGGCTTGTATGTGTACATGCCCTTAGAGGCTGAGAGGGGGTGTGTGTGTTGTGGAGGCTTATGTTGAGGTTTGTCTTGTTTTGTGTAACCTGGACAGAGTAACTGATATTCAAGGCCAACAGAGAGGGTGTTACAGCACCAGCAGCATTTCTGCAGGTTAACAGTCTCTGCTTCACGGGTCCAGACCATTCAAGCACAGAATTAGCTCTGTTTATACCTATCATTGACCTGGAATAGGAAGAAAAGCTGATTCTCAGACTATTTCCCACCACACACACAGACACTTGACCTGAATTCAGCTGGGCTGAGTGAGTTTTTTTCTGTGAGTTCGAAGGTCTGTGAACCTGTTTGGAAGTGGCTGGCAGTCACTGTGGAGGAATAGAGATCCTCTGTTCTAGAGAACATCTGAGATGGCGTCAAGCAGTCATCACCCAGGAAAATGAGGTTGGATTTTAAGCCCTCAAGTCTCCAGATGCTGAACAGTTTGAGTTAACGAATCCTGACCTTGGATGGTGTGAAAATCCTGAATGTTTGTTTTTCCCATTTGTTGTCTGAGTGCATGAAAGGTTTGAAAGCTCCCGTGTTCTTCAGAGACAGAGATTATCTCATTAAGGGGTATTAAAGGAAGTTGGGTGTTTGGGTTTTTTTTTTTTCGGGGTGGGGGGCGGTGTTTGTTTGGTTTTTTGTTTTTTAAAAAGAGTAATCTCTACTGGCCTGCTTCCAGTCACCCTGCCTCCTCTTTCCTGGTAAAGACATCAGTTAGACCTCATCCTGTCTCTGTGACAACCTGATGCCTGTGTAATCTGCCATTGGTTTCCCTTTAACCAGCTCCTTCCAGTATGAGGATTGCTAAACCTTGGCGTAAAGGCAGAACTGCTTCTCTTTTTCATCACTTGATGGAGAGGGACAAAGGCAGTGTTTGGAGAAGTGTAGGGGAAACTCATGCTTTAGCCTGATTGATTCCTGCATCAGCACGCTGGGGAACAGCTGCCCCAGATAATGATATTTAATGACCCTGACAGCACCTCAGTGGCTACTTAGAGCAACGGATTCCGTATGTCTACAGTGAGGGATAGATTTATTAGAAAAGGTGATTTATCAAACAACCATGTGATGCAGGGAACAATGAAAAGCTCTTGCTGCACATTCTGGGATAAGGATGGATCCCATACTGTTTAGATTTATCAAGCTGGCTTCTCCCCTGTCCTCACATCACCACTGTTGCCTCCTCCAAAAACAGGGCTGGGAGTTAAACATGGGTTGGTCTTCTGTTGGTGTTTAGAGACCTTAGATCCTAAAGAATGGTCTTGGTTGGTGTTTTGTCGTCTCCTGAACTTGTCCTGCCTGAAGGCCAATGGCTAGATGTGGACTCCTGTCCTACTATAATCTGTGCCTTTTCTTCATCTTCGTTTAGTTGATCTTAGCCATGTGGTGCTTGCCCTTCTGGCAAGCACTCTGAGCGGCAGAGCTGAACACTGGAGCTGCCAGCCTACCTCTTTATTTTGCTGGGTAAAAACTTTCCACACAGACAGTGGCTTATTCAGCTTACCTGTGCCTGCTGGCCTGGTGTGGATGGGAAGCTGACCCATGCTTTGCATCATGATTTGAAAAATCAGGCCTATTTGAGCTTTGCAATGTACACACTGCAGGACCCACCGTACAGCCTTTTCCCCAGCCTGGTGAAAAGCCCCTGGATTTTGGAGCAGCAGTGGCTGATGTAAGGCTGCACTGCCGCAGGTGTACTGGCAATTCAGATGACAGTGGCTGAGAGGATGGTTCTTGGCAGCAGGGAGAACTAGCTGTGTGTGAAGGTCATTTCTGCTGGTGTTTGTAACAGTGTCGGCCTTGCCTTTGAAAGTTGCTTTCCCTCTTTCTCCTGATCTAAGTGATAATCAAATGTCACTAGCCTCTTTCCAGAGCCTTGTGCTCATCGCAAGCAGCACATCAGCTAACAAAGCCTACAGCGGTCTCTTTCCACACCTCATGGACAAGAAAAATTTCATTGTATCTCTGAAAAATGCAGTCTTAAACACTGGGACCTGAACTGGAAATTAAAAACGGGCCAGTTCAAAGAATGTGGAGATGCGGCAGGGATCAGCCCTTCATCTGGCTCTGTTTTTTCTCCCAGGGTAAGGGACTAGCCAGGACAGGCACCTCTGAAGTCTCTAAAAGGAGAAAGTTGAAGGAGGAGCTTGCAAGCCCAAGTGCCGTACTGCTAGAGAGCCCAGACATTGTCTGGGCCTACTGAATATGGAGAGCTCATCTGGAAACAAGGCTGGCATGGTGAGACATTTCCCTGTCAGGACTGATAGGAGCACAGAGGGTGGATCTGTGTCTCCAGGTGGAGTGGGGCTGATGGCAGAGAGAGGGCTTCCAGAGCCATCGAGCTGTTGGCAGTCTTCTGAAGAGTAACAGCTTACATACTTGGCTGCAAAACTGATTGCCATCTCACGTGGGTGAGTGCCAATGGTTAAATTCAGTGCAGCAGTGGTGCTTGAACTGCTGGCCTTATCTGTGCTTAGAGATCTCTCTTCTCAGGAGCTGGCGGTTGTGTAAAGATTTGCCTACACAAGCTCTCATCCCTTTCCCAACTGTAAAAGCTCCTCAGGCTGCTTTGTCAGCGCTCTCCTACTCATGCCCAGACTGCCCTGGGAGACTGAGTACAGTCACCCTAAGGGGTGTGACAGGGAGCCTGTTGTCTGTGCTTCCCTGGAGAAAGGGCTAGTTGGGAAAAATCACTTGTTCTAAATCCTGGTAATGGTGCTTAAGGTGAAGCCTTGATTTGAGTTCGGGATAAAACCTTACTGGCTCGCCCAGCTCTTGAGCAAGGGTCCTAAGAGCAGAGACAGGGCCTAGACTGGTTGACCAGGTGAGTACAAATCAAATCGTCCCCTTGGGGTAGGGAGGGTTACTTCCCCAAACTGTAACTCCTTCCTTCCTTTCAGCTCCCTTCCACCTCAGCCTTGCAAGTATGGAGCTGTTATTAGCCCAAGTCCTTTACCAGTTTTGGAGCCTGCTTCTAGGTCTCTTATCTGGTTCTTGGAACAGGGTGTCTCCTGCAGAAGACTAAACCAACTAAGCCATCAATAAGTTAGAGCTGTGGTATTTTCAGTTCTGCTGTTTGGACTTCAGGCTCTTTTCTTCCTGGAGGGTTTAAATCTGTGGTGATGAATTGCGCCCTAAAGAGACTTGAATATCTAGCTGTTTTTTTTCCCCGTCCTTTCTTCAGTCGTGATCAAGTGGGTGGTGTTAGGGGTAAGCTGCTGGAGGGCACGGCACAGAAAAAGGGGCTGAGCCAGGCAAGTCTGATACACCTCTCAAAGGGGAGGGGACACAGCTCACTGGGGCACAGCCCTACCTCTTTATTATTGGATAATAACTGTCTAGCAGCATCATGGGAAAGGATATGGATTAGGAAAGATAACAAAAGGACAGGGCTTGTTGGAGCTCAGCAGCAAACATTGGGCTATCATGTATTAAGCAGCTAACCTGATTAATTGCAGCCTGTTACAGCTCTGTAGGTGAGGACTGTTGGCTTTAAAGACACTGGCATGTTCCCAGACAACTCCCACATGGGACATTTGCTCTATGTGCTGCTCTTGATGCTGTATTGTAGTTTTTAGAAAGTATTGTATTTTAGTAGAGACATTTTATAGAGGAAGAAACTCCTAGGTTTGGTTGCTGCAGGCTCAGTTCTGTCTCCCTGTAGCACAGTCAGATCATACCACATCCATTCAAGTAACTGCAGCCCTTAAGTCAGATCACTCCCAACTCTGCCCAAACTATGATCTTGCAATTATATGCCCAGAAATAAAATCTCTCTGCTAGCTCTTTCCCCTGGCCAATAAGATGGAGGGAAAATGGACAAGAATAGCCAGGAAATATGTGTTAAGCTTCCCCCCGTCCCCGCCCCCCCTTCCATCCTGTCCCGTCCCCCCACCCTGTCCCCTTCCAGGATACTTAGTAGAAGGCTTCTAGGTGAGAAACTAGGCAAGGGCTCTCCAAAGCATGCTGGTGAGGCTGACTTTCCTTATCTGTTCATTTCTCTGATATTTCTGCTTCTTCCACCAAAACCCTGTTCTTTACAGGACTCCTCAGCACTTCTCTGAAGAGAACTGGTCTCAGACCATCTCACTTTGTGAGCAGGTTTCAGCTGCTGTAGTAACTGTTGCTGCCATCCTTAGCAGGCTTAACCAGCCATGCTGAAGTTGATTCATTCAGAGTCACTCTGCTATGTCCTTTCAGCTGCAGCTGCAGAGACAGAGTTATAGCAGAGGCTGATATAGGAGAAGGTGACAATTATCTGAAGTCCTGCAGTCTCCTGCA